GTATGTATAAAATCTCAACTAGGCAACACAGATCATAGCAAAAATTAAGATAACACGTAGGATGCTCACAACTGGAAGAGTTGTCGGCAATGGAAAAAACAGCGAAATCGGTAAACCCTTCAGAGAGAGGCAGAGTCAGAGTCTGGAGTGGTTGAATAAATGGAAAGCTACTTTCAGATCGAGGAAGACAGAAATGATGGGTCTACAAAGGGAGTGTCTGTATTCTGAAATTTGTCCAAGGGTGAAAATGCGGGGTCTATACAACTTCCACCAAGTCTAAAACTGGCCTGGTTCTCACGCGCGCACCGTTCACGCACGGCAGACAATTGACGGAGTATAACACCATCGAGAAGCTTCGGGATAATATTGATAAATTAATTCCTTGAGGTTTCCACAAGATGATCTGTCACATTTCTTACAAATCAGTATGAAGACCGAAGCACACCATTTAGATGGAACCTGATTACTCTACCACACTAAACCCATGAAATTCGTTAACTCATAAAACCAGGGATGAGTTTCAATCCTTAAAAAACGATGGGGACAGCCCGTCCGAGTCGGAAGTCTTTAGCCTTTTGAGATAGTGAACTTCCCGGTAACCTCCATTTCAGATGCAGAACTAATTTTAACTGGCAGTATCCGCCCCGTCAAAGCAGGTGAAGTTTCAGTTTCAGTTAGAACAACCATGCACTTTCGTCCGCCGGTTTTGGTTGCTGTTTTTTGGCCGCCATTCGGATAAGAGTAGAATTTTGAGAGCAAATTCAAGCGAAACATAGCGAATTTATCCAGACTGGTATCATAAAAGTAATGAGTAGATGCATGAGAACCACTGTTCACGACACTCAGCCATATCACTGTGTATCTAACCATCGGTTACGATCATCATGAGCTCCCCGGCCGGGACCTATGTGACCCAGTCCCCTGGTTAGGGTTTTCACACCCTCGTGTCAGGTCTTATCTTGACCACCTTTGGCTTTTTTCCACCCACTACCTGCTTTTGCGAACATCGCTC